CCTTGGCATGCATTCAAACTGATGATGGTGGAAAAATATACCGAAACGTATTCCGATTGATAAATAGGGACAATAAATGACCCAGGAATGAATTTGATTTAGTATTTTTAGTCTTTTCGTGTTTTTTCTCCCTGAGATCAAGCGCCAAAAGATTTAAAAAAGGGAAATTATAAATCAATGAATACTGCTTGATAAGGCTACTAAAGTACTATTGATAAGACTTTGATTAAAAAAAATTGTACTTCCGAGACCGTATAAAAGCAAAAAAGGTCTGGGAATTGCACAATAAAGAATAATGTCTTGCTTCTCTCTTAAAGTAATATGGTAATACGCAAAAGCAATTGAGTTATATCACTGAACATTTTCTACCTAAGATTAGAAGGCGACAATTTTAAGACTTATTGATAACTACAAGAATATATTAAAAGCTAGATTTTACTCTAGTTCAGTAGATCAGAATAGTTCAGAGAGCGTGATGTGACCACCAATTTTCGGAAGAATTTGCATTTATCACAACTCCAATTTGACCAGTACGATTATTTTTCTTTTTATTGTTATCGTTGAAACAAATCTTGGTGGTTACAGATGAAAATTAGGTTTTAAGAATTTGCAAAAAGTGTATAATGTACTGATTCCAGTGTAGCGACACTGGATGTTTGCCTAATAAAGCCTTTAGCATATTATAATACATCGTTAAGACATGCAGTTACATATTTATATTAAAAACATAAAAACATTCCATATAAAAATTAAGAAACAAGATATTTACATTTAGATACTACCTAACTTGAAATAATTATTTAAAAAAATTGTCAATATATCTTAGAATATGTTTGAATAATGATGAAAATATTAACAATTCTAAATATATATAGTTTTTAAAAAACAGTGCTGCGATTGTTAGATGTAACAAATAAGAATAAGCCTTTCGCAGAATGTATATTTAAAAATTTTGAAAAGTATATTACATATACACTTTGTCCAGAATCGAGTTTTTTGTATACCCATTGAGGTTTGTGTGTATAAAACGGTTCGTCTCGCTGTTGGCTAAGAAATTATATAAAGCAATTTGGGTTCGTTTCGGTTTTTTCGTGTATATTTTATCATTTTGGACAAAATGTACCGCAAAACCATTTACTAATATTGAATTTAGAAAACAATATGTATTCTTTAAATAGAAATAAAAAATATATAATAGTTCCGCTTTTTCCATTGTGGGCCCGATACTTTTTTCACGGCTGACTGTTGGAAATTCCCATTCAACAGTCTGAAAATACCCAGTAGTTGCTCAGATCAAATAAACCCGAATAAAAATTCTGCATGTACTTACATTTTAATTAACAATTTTAGTAATTACACTGCCGGGTTTCCTAGACCACGATCCAAAGGTGTAAAACCCCAGCAACATTTTTTTAAATTCATTTTCTATTTGCGATTGATAAACCTTTTTGCTTCCCGCAACATTCGATGTCGTTCCTGCTTCTCGTCCACTTGCTGGGCATCGTCAAAATCACTCTCACTGCTATCAATTCCAAAATCACTCAATTCAAAGTCATCGCTCGAATCGTCATTGAGGAAAGGGTCTGAATAGTCGTAATCATCCTCGCTCTCATCACCCCTCGGAGGGGCTTTTTTCGGCCGTTTAGCTGCTCGAGCGGCTGAAAAAAAGGGGCAACTGAATGCGTTTCAACCAAATACCCAACTAGTTGTGCCCGAAACTCGTTCTAAAGGATGTTTATAACGTGAAGTTTACGGAAGACCACTAAGAAAATGAACCTATTCAATATCCTTTACTTACCTTATAAACTCCTTTAGAACTGTTTCACTATGTCACACGAATTGGTTCCTAAAGAAACTAGAAACGCGAATGTTTCAAGGGAAATAAACAAATCCCCACTGAAATCATTTGATATATATTTTGCCAAAAACAACAACTAAAAGTCTTCAAGGTCGCTACCATAGTCCGATTGGTCCCGTTTACCACCGCGACTTGATGTCCGTTTGCAATGAGAGCAGAACGGACAGCCCTGAGTAACGTTAAAGGTAAAAGTGGCATTACTTGGCTTTCCTGCGGGCCTGGTGCTGTGCTTGTACATCCTTCTATGGTCCAGGTTCTTCCTGTAGCAAGCCGGTCCAAAGGGGCACTCGGGCCGGTTTCCGTCCACGCCCGAGTCATAGTCGCCATCGCCCGGATGGCTGAAGGCGTCCTTGTGACTGGGGTTTTTCCTGCAACAGTCTTATGATAATCGAGCTTAATTTTGTTTAAGAGAAACCTACCGATAACAGGTATCTCCATACCAGCATCGCTCCCTTGCGGGGGGTTTGGTTGCAGATCCGCTTGTCGATGGCTGGTCTGCAGCGTTTGCATTGTCTTGGGGGGCTTCTGCGACTTTACTCTGATCGTCAACCGGCTCTGCTTTAACTTCCACCATAGGTGACGGTTCCTCCAATATTTCTTCGTGGATTTCAATGAGTTCCTGCTTTACTTCCAATGTCACTTCGTGGGTAATCTCGGGGATTTCACTTGGAAGGTCTAAAGTCGGTTCGTTATTGATGTCTGTTCTGTCGGGTAGGGGCTCTATTTCCTCAGGCAAGGCCTCAGACATTGCAGAAGCAGGCGCTTCTGCAATGTCTGTAGTCGACTGGCATGGCATTTGATCAGGTTTTTCAGTTTTTGGCACCACAGTGGTACTTGTTGCCTCTGTATAACATGTGACAGTGGGGCCAAGCCCGCAACTATTTGTCGGTTCCTCTTCTTTGCTGCCCTCTAACACCTGTTCCAACAAATCTGGAACAGTATCGTTGGTCTCACAGTCACTTGTGGACGTTGTGGACAATCTGGCTCTTTTGGCGTCACAGCTTTCATTGACTTCTTGTTCATGTAATCTTTTTTCTGTTGGGCTTGGGGGCGGATCCGGTGCTTCGATTTTTATTTTCGCTTGAAACCAGCAGGATTCAGGCAACAACGCAAACTGGTCACCGTCTTGGATTTCATTTTGCTGGTTTTGGGTCATGATTGTTAAAGTCTTACTGTTCGCCGCCTTGAAGAAGCAGGGGTTGATGTGGATCTGCAAGAGCACCATTTTAGAACTTCAAACTAGGGGTTTTGAGTAAATTGAGCTGCAGGAATGTGCAGTGGTCGGCCAAACTATTACTTACAGAGGTTAAAGTAATCTTATGCTCAGACACTTCGATGATTGCATGTTTTCGGGAAACCCTCTTGTCTGCTACCTGTGGGAGGGCAAAATGATGCGAAATAAGTTGGGTGCTTTCGTAAAAGCCACACTAAACTACCTTTAAGAGATTACCACGGCCGAGTAAATGGACGCCTCTACCCAAGCTGGCGATAAGGTGACCCTCAGGGTTGTCCATCGAATAAATGTTTACAAGGATCATTATTATAATTAAAGGTTTCGGAAAAGGGGTTCTTAGATTTGTTGTTTGTCCGCAAACTTAAAAGCAGAAGCTCAACAGCGCGTACATAACCTAAAATAATACAGGTATGGCAGCACTTGCAACAAACACAGAACATACCTTATAGGGGGGATATTTTGTGGCAACAAATAACAATAGATGACATCAGTTTACTTGGAGCCTGTGCGGCGTTGCCGGCTACATCGAAATAGCATTCCTGTGGACTTGCGGATTTTCATCACTTTTTTTCATTGATATTCGCAACTTTTTCTTCGGAATAACAATTTTCGCCCTTGTATCGAAAATTGCTAATTTGTAAGATACAATTATGTGGTAAAAACAATACATATATTTGCATTACTCACAATTGCTAGTAAATAAAGGAACGTGGATAATCTGAAAATACAAACGATTTATTGAGTTTTTCTACTACTTAGACAATAACAGTAATAAGCTTTAGATAAGTTCTATATTGTTGAGGCGATTCATTTTTTTACAAATTTCTGGGTATTTCGCCTCAAACATTTTTGTCTTTAAAAAAGACAGAATTTCCTCACGTCTTCTATTACAGATTGATAAATAGTGCTCCTATTTCGCAATAAGAACGAATTTTTTATCATTACACAAAAGACTCAAAGAACACCAATCATACATAAAAAACAGAGAATATCATAAATCACACATTTGTCAACATGCATTTGATAATTGCCATAAAATTCAATGGAATAATTCCACAATTTTAACAAAAGAACAATCTACAAAAAAACATAAAATTAAAGAAAGCGCACTAATTTTACTAAATCAAAATAATTGTGTTGCTTCATGTTCATTTAATTTAAGTCATACATGGTTGCCGATGCTAAAATCTGAAGTAGACCAGAGAAACATACACCCAAATTAAATTTACACCAAAATTATTAATTAACATTACCTTTATTAAATTAAACAATG